CTGTGTATTCCTTCCATCTTCTTTTGATGCATTCTGCATCATTCAATAATTTTCCCAGAGAATCTTTCAATAATGAAAGTCGAGGCTTGAATTTTTTCTTCAGTTTATTATTTATTCCTTTTAGGTGTGTCAAATACCAGTTACTTTGTTACCTCAAAAGGAGTTCTGGTGACACAATGGTGTTGTTATGAGTCAGACTGTACCTGATGGCAGTGGGTTGGGTTGGGTTTGGCTTTAGACCCCCTAAAACTCCATTGGGAGTGGAATATCAAGCATTCCAAAAGCATCTCTTTAAGGCTCCTTTACAATGTTTGAATACAAATAGTACCAATCACTCCTGGGGGTGGGAGTGCAAAGGAAAATGCCCCCTCATTTAAGCACAGTGGGGTTTGATACAGTGGTAGCAGCAGTGGGCTAAAACATAATAACAATTGTGAGGATGGCGCAGGACTGGGTAGTGTTTTATTCTATTGTGCATAGGGTCGCTATGAGTTGGAATCAACTCGATGCACCTAACAACACAATAATACACTTTCTAAAACTTTCTCAAGATACTCCAAGTTTCTTCATTTTCAAACTGTTCAAGTGAAGTTATATTCAGATTAATTGCTTGGGCCCACTACCTTTTCTAGTTTCACATTCTTAGTGGTTCAGTTTGGAATGTGGAAATACTTGCCACTGATTATTTTGTTCTTAGCTTTTGGGGTTTTAGTCAAAACTGAGAAGAAAAAGTATTATTGTACTATCCTTTTACACATGTTTTGTTTACCTCTGTGTCCAACATCTGGCATAGCGCCTGGTATTCACTGAGTGAATAGTGAAGAAGAACAGCAAAGACAGGACACTGAGAAGAATTCACTTTATCCCCTATAAATAAAGGGAAGAAGAAATGAAGGAGGTAAAAGAGATATTGCTCTTCAGTACATGAGGTGACACTCAGGTATTCAATGTTGCAGAATACTCCAAAGGATGAAGGTAGAAAAACGGCCACCATTTTTGATGAATAAAAGTCTTTGGTCCTTTGAGGAAGTAGGTTTAGCTGAGTGTTAGAGGTAGAAGCCAGACCTTGGTCAGTTGAGGCCTACATAGGACATAAAGAAATGAAAGAAGGATCTGCTAACCCTTCCTAGATGTTTGAATGTTTTTCTGGCTAGTTGACAATAGACTTTTATTTCTGCTGTTTCTTTAAGCCCACTAAAATGAGATTAAAGAAGTTTTTAAAAGGCATAAACAATAAGACCAAAGAGGATGGGGGAGGAGAGGACTACAGATCAGAGATGTTATCAAAATGGTGAAAGCTGGAAAGTAGAGGGATAAGTGTTAACTGCTTTAATTCAAACCCAAGTCTACAGGAGGGCAGATCACATGAACAAAACAGATTTGCCCTAGAGGACCCCACAGAGATATAGGAATTAGGCACCCGGAAACTCTATACAGGGTCGCTATGGGTCGGAACCGACTCGACGGCACTTAACAACAACAACATCTCTGAAGAAGGTGAAAGAGGAAGAATTAGCTGGAAGAGATGATCATTGAGAAATCTATGTAAATACTGGAAGAAACAACAAAGGTTTGAAAGTGATTGTCTCTAGGCAAAGAGAATCAGGAGTTGGGAGGGGTGTGATCAGATGTTTTTAACAATAAGCAAGGTCTGGTTAGGATTTACCTAATTAGGATTTACCTAATTGGTCCAACTAGTTATTAAACAGCTTGAATTTCACCCATGGTTTTAAGCCTTATAATATTATTTGCCTCTATAAACTATATATGTTCATCTCTTAATTTGAGTAAAACATTATATAAGAGAGAACGGTTTTATACTTTCAGTAAATAAAAGCTCTGAAGGAGAAATAATGGATGTGACAGTAAAATAAAGGAGAACAAAGTAAGTATTGGTTTTTTGGGTGATTTGTTAGGGTAGAGGAGATGCTATCATAATTATAGGATAAGGACTGGAATCTAACAGAAGGGGAAAGGTTGTACCTTTAAGAGAAAGGAGGTAGAATTGTTGAAACAAGGTTGTGGAGGGGACGAGAAAAGGTGTCACTTGAACATGATGAAAAAGTTTGCCATAGAAATGAAGTAGTCTGATTCTTTCTCTTGAACAAGAAGGGACTTATCTGGGGCTAGGAATGAGAAAACATTTGATATTGGAATAAGGAGCTATGTATAGCCTTAGTTGTCTCAATATATTTCCTATTGTAAATTGGAATCAATTTTATGACAATACCATTGTAAATTTCAGATTTATGGCAATGGATGGAGTCCACAATTGACTGTCAACAAAGGAAACATTTGTTAAAGGGACAGAAAATTGGTCAATAGCTGGGGACAAAAACAGTGCGGTTTGTTTATGTACTATAAAAAAATAACAACAACAACAACAACAACAAAAAACCATGACAGTAGATTCTAACTTTAAAAAGGTTTGTTGTTTTAGGTGCCATTGAGTTGGTAGGTAAGTCAACTGTATCAGTAGATTCTCAGTGTCTAGAGGAGTAGTTGAAAAGTATGGTCTGAAGATCTTTGAGAATGTTATTTAAGGAATTTGTGAATCCATGAATATGTGAGATTTTGACAGAAGAAAAACTACACTTGACACATTTATGTAAATCTATCTTTTGAATGTTTGTAGATGTCATATCATTAATAAGAAAGAAACTTATTTTAAATCATCCCAGAAATCATAGTGATTTTGCCATTCCTATCCCCACCACAACAGATATTGAGGAACAAGGACTATTATGTATGTGGTTGGTGGTACAGGGTGGGGCTGAGAAATTTTTAATGTTTATCTTTATGATATACATAAATATTGCATTATCTGTTTTGATTTTTTTGCTGCTGTATAACTTATCCTATACTGACTGATAAGGAGCTCTGGTAATGTAGTGCTTATGAGTTCAGCTGCTAACCTCAAGGTCAGGAGTTCGAAACTACCAGCTGTTATGTGGGAAAAAGGTGATGCTTTCTGCTCCGTACAGATTTACAGCCCTGGAAACCCTATACAGGCTTGCTATGAGTCTGCACTGACTCCATGGCACACAAACACCACTATACTGAATGATACAACCTTCATAATCTAAAACCTTGAGAACCACTGGTCTAGGACGTATGGGACTTAAGTCATTCAGTGTGTAAGATGAGTTAGGCATGCTAAATTTTTCCATTTTCATTGAGTATTGAGTTACAACAGAAGACTACCAAACATAGAGACGTATTTTCATTTATAGTTGGACCATCTATCTGCATCTCCCCACTAATACATCTTGCAAATGTACATTCTTGAACTCAACAACAGACTTCCTGAATTGGAATCGGTGGGTGGTAGGCCTAGGAATCTGCACTTTAAACATGCTCCATAAGGATTCTTTTTTTTTTTTTTTTAATTCTACATATTTAATTGCAATCTTTTTGCTACTTATTATGATTATTTTAAAGTTTTTATTGTGTATTGAGTAAGTGAAGGCTTACACGACAGATCACCATTTTAACATTCAGCAGATCATTTAATTATAACAATACCTTCCATGCTCCCTTAGCCAACAGTATTTACCAGAATTACCTTTTTTTTTTTTTGGTGTACACATGCCACATTGTAAATATGCATTTGTTTAAGTGTCCAAAGATCACATTTTGTAAGCCAGCCTTATGTCCGCAGGTACGCTGCTTTTCTCAGTCTATGGGCCTAAAGTCCACTGACATTCTCTCTATGCCATCACCTCCACCAACATCTCTGTTGTCGCCGCTTTTCTGGTCATGATCCCTCTCTGCTCTCATGTTCTTCCCTCTTATTGGTCCTAGGATCCTCTGTTCCTGAGATGACAGATTAATTGCTCCCCCTTTTAGTTGCACTTCTTCTACATTTACAGTTGTAACAATCGCCATTAAAGCTGAAAACAATTGTTGTTGTTGTTGTGTGCCGTGGACTGATAGCGACCCTGTACAGGGTTTCCAAGGCTGTAAAACTTTACGGGAGCAGAAAGCCTCCTCTTTCTCCCGCGGAACAGCTGGTAGTTTCGAACTGCTGACCTTGCGGTTTGCAGCCTGATTAGTATCCACTACGCTACCAGAGCTCCTTAAACAATTACTCAAAATTAAATCATAAAGTCTTATCCCCTTCATTATCAGACCCATCTGGATAGGATTGAAATTATTCAGTTGGGTTTCTGTCATACTTCTTGCTTTTGAACACTAAGTACCCTCATGAAAGCTTGTAAGCCAGCCACTTCATGCCTTTATGGACCCCCAGTTTTGGTAGCCGAAGTCTAAGTTGTCCATCCCTATTAGCCCAGTGTACTGAGGAGTCATGCTTTATCTTTGATATGGAGAGTCTTTTCCTATTTGGTTGGAATTTTGAGCAGCCTCATCCATAATCAAGGGTCCAGTTGATCAGGTTGTAGCAATTTACGCTTGCTCCCTGTATCATACTTCTTTATCTTCATCTGGTCAATTCTGGTCAGCAAGCCATCCACGCTAGGCCCAATGGGTACTGTTTGCAATTCAAGGAGTTCCTGTTTATTTCCCCCTTTGTCTGATCCAGTGACTGCTTCATGTAGCCCTCAGTGGTGAGGTCAGTGTCTTTGGACTCGGGAGTTCACACATCACCCTGAACTTCAAACCCATTAGTTCATCCTTTTTTCTCTATCATTCCAAGGTTATTGGACATCCATGGAATATGGCTAATCTCAGTCTATGGCTTCTTTGTTGCAATTACCCCCTTTCCACTCATAAATCCATCAGGACAGTTACCATCAAGCATACAGGACTATTCATTCAAGTGTTCCCTTTGAGTTTCAGTCTTAGACAGGAATTTACCCTAATAGATTGGCTTTTCTTGCCTTTATGGTTCCAGGGCAAACAGCTTGTTTGATAATGTTCCAACAGTCTGCTTTTTTAAAAACCTGTTCTCCTCCCATTGGTCTTTCTTTTAGGGAGTATCTTCTGTTCCTCTACTTGTTCAGGGTTGGTCTGCATAGCTTTTCAATTGGGAATGTCCCACCCGTAAGGTTCTGGGTGGGAGTCATCCTCCACCAAGACTTAACAAGAAACCTGTTTTCCTGGGTACAATCTAGACCCCTTTTAGATAATCCAATCCATTATAGGCTGAAGATAGGCTTACAAGATTTCTGTAATCATCTTCCCCAGTTATCCTTTCTATCCCACTTAGATATCTATGTCACCCTAGTAGGCAGGGGAACCCAAAATTCACTAAACATTCAAACACCTTAATATTATTTCCTCACCTTTACCCTTTTAGCCTATGTCTTGATCCTCCATAAGAATTCTTATGCTTCACACAGAGTGAAACTCTGAGTCACTTTCCTTAAATCACAGTACTTTTTTTTTTATGCTGCCAATTTTAAATACAACTTTATTTAAGACATTGCATTTTCCATTTACATACAGTGTTAATAAAGTGCCATGTTACTTTTTTCCCCTATGCTTTTAACTCGATATTCAAGTATTGAGAATGCCCAGAAATTTAGGACAGCAGTTCTTCTTTTTAAAACTGCTATTGAATGTGCTGCAAATTTGGGCCCATCAGTGTTTTACTGTGGAACAATGCTAAGGTATCTATGCTTAGATACTAGCTTAATCAACCTCCTCAATGATGGGCCTAGAAGAGGCACCACTAGATGGAGGAACTCCACCTCCAGGGAATCCCCCCCAGGCATTCCTCCAGGCATGCCTCCTGCACTCTGGTACAACTTGATAATGGTAGGGTTGCAGACTTTCTCCAGCTTTTTCTGTTGATGTTCAAATTCTTCTTTCTCTGCAGTCTGATTCTTATCAAGCCAGTTGATAATTTCATTACATATACCAAGAGTCTTCTGTTTGTCTTCATCATTGATCTTGCCTTGAAGTTTTTAATCTTCAACTGTTCCTTTCATGTTAAATGCATAGGATTTAAGTGAATTTTTGGAAAACACCTTATCCCGCTGTTTCTCATCTTCAGTTTTGTACTTCTCAGCTTCCTGAACCATCCGTTCA